GCTTTTTTTTCTAAAGCCGATTCACCAAAACAATCTTAGGAGTGCACACCCTCGTCGTTTTGGTATCCAAGTACCCCCCCCAGGCGCCATAAATTGCTCCCAAATGAAACACTGGGCACCTGCATGCCTGCATGCTCCCATGCAACCCCTCCTCCCCCACTGAAAGCCCTTAGATACCCATGTTATTAAGATAACAGTCCCTTCACAAAAGTATTGCACCACCTAGAAGGAGGAGAAATGGCGCAAGAATTATCAAAAGCTATTTCTGTGCAAATTGGTTGTGTCTTTAAAGGGTGCCCGGGAGAGGGTGGAACAAACACCAATCAAAACTTCAAATTTTTAAAGCACCTTTAACAAAAATAGATGTAAGAAACATCTTTAAAGATTTCAACAGTTTCAATTTTTCAATAATTTGACAGGAGGCGCGAACTTTTGAAACTGCTTTCAGCCTTCTTGAATTGGTTGCAGATAATTGGGCAATCTATTATTGTGGAATTTCATACCAAACCTTAAGAATTCTTTCAATCAACAATTCTTTTGTTTTTCAATAACCATTTCAATCATGGTGTTTTATATGAAGATAAACATTTTAAGCGATGTGCAAATGTGGACATTATGGACGCCATGGAAAAACCTGAATTCTTGTTGTCTGGAAATAAATTGTTGTTAAAATGGTTTCCTTTTACCCAGGTAACTTTTTGTTTCGTATTTGTGTAAGACATTTATTCTAATCTTCTGGGAGGATTTTGAGCTGAAAACCCCTGCTAAGCCTTGAGTTTTATGTCCTTTAGTGGCCCTAAGTGTAAACAGCGTGAAGTGAAACAGACAAATTTTGTAGTGACTCGTCTCTCATTTGACATTTTTTCTTCTTTAAGCATGTTCTACATTTCTACAAACGAAAACCACTCTACGTAATTTATACATATCAAGTTTTGTTTTCTATGGCATCAGCAAGATTTCAAAGAAATTCCTGCCAAAATTTGTTACAAAAATGCCTAATTCACCCAATTTATGCATTCAAATGTTTGGTATGGTTGAAAAGTTGACAATAAGTGCTGCCATTTTGAACAAGGTGGTGCAATACTTTTGTGAGGGAAGGTACCTATGGTGTACAACAGGCATCAATAAATGTATGTTAAGTTTTAAATGTAGGGATGAAAAAATAGGTGACAGGAAGTTACCTCCAAATCTACTCAGTAAATCAGCAAGAATATCCAATGCTTCCAGCTGCACAGACTGGTCCTCGATCTGTAAAAGAGCATTGAAATCTGTCACAAAGTGATTATTCAGATAAGCAACAATGACAGCCATAAGTAATAGGTTAACCTAGAAAAATACTAGATCAGACTAGTTTCAAAGCACTAGTCTAGTGGGTTAAAAGGCACATAAAAATTGGTGAATACAACAAAAGGCATACATTTGGGTTGCATGCGCTAGAACACATAGATTAAAGTTTACATAAGTCTCCATCAGAAAAAGTTTCTAGTCTTAAGAAGCACCATATGTGTAAATGCAAGAAACAAATTGGTTTATTGTGTGAACAGCTGGCTGCTAGATCCTGTTAAAGAGTTTTTGCAGATTGAAAAATTACAAACCTTTGAAATAGTTTCAGTTAGTCTTCCAGTAATGCGTTTACAAATGCTTGAAGAGAGACCAGTTGAGGCTGGAGGAAGTTCACTTATCACTGTTTTCAGCCCTGTAAAATTTAAGCAAATCATAAATTGTATGTAGTCAGAATTGCATGTTTTCTTATCTGAGGTAAAAGGTAAATAAGCACCCTTAAAATTAAACCCATACTTGATTGTTTCTGTTTCAAAATATCAGTCAATGAAGAATTGGCTCACACAAAATTTGAGCAAAAACCAGCCCTACCAATTGAATAAGTAGCATTATTTCAAATCAAGCTTTATTGAGAAAAACAACCTGCCATCATGGCACAACAAAACACTGCACAGCCCAATATGTAAACTATACCGTTTTCAGAATAAACATTTTAAAAAAAGAGAAGAAAATGTCTGCTTTATTATAAGGGCTGATATGTAAATGTTCAATCTAATCATTGATCAGTGGCATCTTCTAGCACTTTTTATCCATTATTTCTATTATTTCTTGCAATCTGAGCATTTTACTGATACTAGGCCCTGCTCAGTATCGATGTAGAAGTAGAAGTAGAAGGGAGAATATTTCAAAATCATAACAAATGTAATAAGCAAAAATACCTATGCTAGAAATATCCCTCAACTGTTCCTTATCTGCTGCCATGTTGGCACAGAGCGTGTCTACAATCCCTTCAACTTGATATTCCTTCACTTTGCAAACCAATGGGCCCAAGCTGCAATGTGAAAAGTTAATTGACATTTTGTAGACAATATTAAAGTGTACGAGTTGTGACAGCAGTAAATCATTATAACCACAGTAGCATTATAAATCATTTGGTGTAACCTTAAAATTCATGTTTTTGGCTTACTTGGTTTTTATGTGATCCAAAGATATCAAATTGATGCAATCCTAAGAAACTAATGTATGTGCCAAGACATACAAATTATGGAGATAAGCAGAGCAGAGTTCATCCCTCATAACAGGAACTTTAAATGTGAACAAAGCATTATTCACATCACCTTTCTTTATACTCTCTTCAGGATTGGCAGCATGAGATGATAAAAAGATGTAATAGTCTATAAAATGGGCCAATTAGAGAGAGAGTGTGTGTAAGAGAACGATAGAGTGCTAGCATTTGATTGGTGTAACATGCAATAAATAATCTTCATTTAAGATGGCATGAATTAGCAGAAACAAAGTCATACTAAAACAAAGCACTTTCAATCCACACCTTTCAATCCATTTTCTGCTCAGTTTTGTACAATATCAAGGGTTCTACTCTGAAGGGTATCTGATAAAATGTTCTTAATAGGATGATATGCTTGCACTATTTGGTGCCATCTTCAAAATTTGCAGTACCGAAAACGTACTTGGACATCTATTAAGAACATATAAATGTATAAAAAATAGTTACCATTTCACAGCAAGATTTTGAACTTCACCATTTCTATCCTCAAGGAGTTTCAGTAGCATCTGAACAACCTTGAGAAATAATATGCATTACTTTTTCAAGAAAGTAGCTTGCATAGAAGAGTCATTCACACCAAGTTTAACTAAATGATATTTAGACATAATCAAGGTAGCAGATACATAATCATGTGACATCATTAAAAATTAATTCTTAATAATCAGACTTGCCTTTCTTTCACTGTCATCATCCAATTTGATTGAATCTCTTTGAAGTTCAGTCATCAGATCATTGGTTGCCATAAACCTGAAATCTTTATCACTTGATGTCATCTACAAGAAAAAGTACCTAAACTTAACTTAATAATGAGGCCAGGGACTCATAACTCGTGAAAACATGCAAGCATGCACAGAACAGGCAAACATCAATTATGCAGACAGGTATGCGCACACAAAAATAAGTAGTACTGGTCATTTGAAAATATGTCATAAAAACAAAATGAATTGTGACCATCTTCACTCCCATAATTTGCAAATAATTGTTAAATTTAGATGATTATGACAGCAAAAAGGTTTGTGCGCATTGATGCCAATATGAATTAGTGGTATGTGCTATTCCTCTACCATTAACCCAATTAGCAATGTCAAGTTTTTAAGCATAAAAGTTTAATCCAAATTGTGCTTGTCTCTCTGTCAGAGTCTTCTAGTAGAAGATAGTCAGTAATTGGAAGATGTCAGAAATTTGTTAAAACAACATCACTGTTTACCATATAAAATGGAGAGCAACAATTCAAAGAAAAGAAAACTGAAGTCTGCTTTGATGTGACATGAAAATTAGAACTTTCTAACGGTCTAAGGCTATACACAAGATTTAGAAAAAGCCACATAATAATCTAGATGTGCTCTAAATTTAATTTCCAATTGTGCTTGTCTCTCTGTCAGAGTCTTCTAGTAGAAGATAATCAGTAATTGGAAGATGTCAGTAATTTGTTAAAACAACACCACTGGTTACCATATAAAATGGAGAGCAACAATTCAAAGAAAAGAAAACTGAAGTCTGCTTTGATGTGACATGAAAATTAGAACTTTCTAACGGTCTAAGGCTATACACAAGATTTAGAAAAAGCCACATAATAATCTAGATGTGCTCTAAATTTAATTTCCAACTGTGCTTGTCTCTCTGTCAGAGTTTTCTAGTAGAAGACAGTCAGTAATTGGAAGATGTCAGAAATTTGTTAAAACAACACCACTGGTTAACATATAAAATGGAGAGCAACAATTCAAAGAAAAGAAAACTGAAGTCTGCTTTGATGTGACATGAAAATTAGAAAACGGTCTAAGGCTATACACAAGATTTAGAAAAAGGCACATAATAATATAGATGTGCTCTAAATTTAATTTCCAATTGTGCTTGTCTCTCTGTCAGAGTCTTCTAGTAGAAGATAATCAGTAATTGGAAGATGTCAGTAATTTGTTAAAACAACACCACTGGTTACCATATAAAATGGAGAGCAACAATTCAAAGAAAAGAAAACTGAAGTCTGCTTTGATGTGACATGAAAATTAGAACTTTCTAACGGTCTAAGGCTATACACAAGATTTAGAAAAGCCACATAATAAACTAGATATGCTCTAAATTTATAAAAACACGAGAAAAGTCCTTAGTGTTTGTACATGTGCCACATTTTACTAGTCTAATAGTAATAGCGGCCTAGCACTTTGACACCAGGTGAGTTGCACAAAACAAAGCTTTTCAAGACAAAAACGACAATGTTATACAAAGAAAATTTGCATTATACCTTGTCTAGCAGGTTGGCAATGTGGTATGGCGATGTCGTTGCCATTTTGATATTTTTATTATTGATTGACCAGGTATCTTGCTTCAGAACAAGTTGATGTCACAAAGAGAGGACATCAAGGACCTCATTCTCGCCCGGTGTGATTGCGAGACTCCCATCTAATCGCCGCAAACCATGCCCCGCACCCGTGTCTTTCGCTCCCACTGATTCGCCCCCTTCTTTTCAACTTGCTTCATTGCTTTTTGGCGCTTTTAAATAATTTCAAATTTTCTGCATCATAACAAAATCATTAAATTAGAGGAAACTTAGTAATGCTTGCAATTAGCTTACAAGAATGTTCTTCGTTTGGAAGTAATACTACATGGGCAATTTTGTTATTTTTAACTTTGCTTTGCAAATAGAATCTTTATAAATATATTGTTATAAAGGGCCTTCGATAGAAATTGTATTTGACAATTTATATATTTCACCAAAAGTACTTAGGGTAATAATGATAGGTATCTCAGCAGGTCCACATCAACCTTTATGCTGCATATATCTTAAATACAATCATATAAGTTTTTTCCTTAGAAGTGTATTCCCTTTAGCATTGTATAGTTTTTTGTAAATCAGTAGTTGTGCATAAATTATGCAAATTATATTTAGGATTGATTGGTAAATGAACGAAACTGAACTGAAACTGCCACTGTAGTCAACCTGCTTTAACATCTATGTATGATATATATGCGTGTGTATGCATGTGTATGTATATATGTAAGTTGCTCTCTTGAAAATTTGACATTATACGGGAAACTGCATTTCATGGCAAGAATATTTTCAACAACAGAAATCATGTGACAAACACCACACAAAATTTCTTTCGCGCTTTTTTGTGATTTGCAGCATCCATTTATATCGAGAAAGAAATTCAAATTCAAATTTCATATATTTTCACAATGTCAATTATGAGGTTCGCAAGAGCAAGATGCAAGAATGATACAATGAAAAGAGAGATAAACGAAAAAAGATAAAGATGACACGATATTCTTTGCTTTTATTGCATAGTAAGGCATAATTTGGCACGAAAGAGGTTTTTGTGTGGAATTTGAATTGCTTATTTTGTGTAGATTTCAAATACCCATTTTTGCAGCTTCGCTGAAGGAGTTTTTTAGTAGGGTATCCTGACGCCGTTAAGGACAATAGACTTTTTCTTGTAATTCAATTCTACGGTTGGTAGGGCAAGGTCATTGCCTTGGGCTTGGCGTGTGTTATGCCCAGGGGGGGGGGGCCACTCCCAAACTGGACCTGATGGGATGTGCCACAGGGTATCATTTTCCGGTGCAAATTATGAGACAGGGTATCAAGAATTGCATCAAAAATCTGGGACAGGGTATAACAATTAAAGAAATTTATAAACGAGAAATATGCAAGAATAGCTTACTCTGTTTTTAGGGAATTCGTAGAAAAAGCATGCGTTAGTGACATTAGCTAGTGGTAGATACCATAAGATCTGGTAAAATTTGGCTCTATTGTGCAGTATTTTTGCATACTTTTAATGAGACAGGATATGCTCTTAATGGGACAGGGTCAGGGTGCAAAACGGTTTCCCATACACCCCTGTCATTTTTCTAGTTATGTTCTCCCTCCCTGGGGGTGTTTTCGCAGTGTGGGGTGCTCGTTTTAAACGAAGTTACTGAAAGCTGTTGTGCAGTTGCTTTTGTCTAAGTACTGCATAAGTGCATATGACAGTCCTCCGAGTACAACGGTCCAGGTTAAAAAAAAGGAACATGCATTCAGGGGCGTCTTGGCTGGAGGGAAGGGGGGAGTGCATTAGGACCTCAAATCACCGATCATTTGGCAATTTGTTGGAAATTTTGTATCTGTTCGGCAAGATGATATTTCTAATTTATAAAAAATCAAGCAAGTTCAAAGGAACTATTCTGTATAAGAAGGAAGATATAAGTAGAAAAAGTTTTTTGAAGACAAAGAAACTCGTGGTATTACTAAATGCGAGTGCACTTTTTTAAAGCTCAAGTGTGTAAAAAACTGGCTGTAATCAACAGTGGGTCAAAAGGGGTTAAATTAATGTTGAGCTTGACTCACTGACACGCAGTTATGACGAAGTATTCGGCTAGTTTGCTGAAACATACCGTATTTACTCTAATATCCCCGCTTCTTTTTTATTCCCGCCTCTCTAGTAATCCCGCTTGTATTTCATAGATTGTAAGAATAATCCAGCCTCCCCAGTAATCCCGCATGCGGGATTGAAACTCTCAATTGGCATTCTTTACTATTTGCAATTCTTTACACTCTCTGTATCGGCTTCAAAACCAAAGTTTGAAACTTATGCTTGGAGTGAATGGGTTAAATCATGTGATAGTGTCGTAGACGGGAGAGGGCAGAGAGCTGTCTTATTTTGCAAGTTTAACAAACAT